GAGGACCCCAGAGCATGCGGCCCTGTTTTCCGGCCGCCAGCTTACCAGGTGGTTGGGTGGTTGATGGCCTCTGAAGACCAGTCAGTGCCCTGTGCTCCATGCCAGTCCCTGCCATTACAGGTTGGCAGGCCTACAGATAGAACATGCCAGCCACATGGCTGCTTGCTGGCAGCCAGACTGTACTCTGGGTCTGTCCTGGCTGACTCAGCCATGCTGCATGTGGCATTTCTGCATAAGCAGGGAAGGTTGCTTGGTTTTTCCTGGATACCACGAGTCCAGAGGGGACAGTGGCTTTCTTCCTTCCCAGTGGGTCTTAGAATCCATTCTTCAGAGATCAGCCAGTGCTCAGTTTGGAGGCTGAGGTGGGCTCAGGTTGAAGACACAGGCTTGGGGGGCTGACCCTGCCCAGGATGTACTGTCCTCTTTCCTCCTGTGTGTGTGCCTACCTTTGTGTGTGTGATGAGAGTTGTGCATGTGTGACGGCACAAGTGCGTGTATGTTTTGTGCCTGGATGTGTAGAGAGTGAGGGTGTGTGTGAGAGAGTGTGTGACTGGCCCTGTTCTGAGACCACAATGCTGTGTGGACATGGGAGGCTTCTCTGCAGCTACTGTTCAGTCTGTGGCTGTGCATTCACTGTGAAGTTTGGTTTTTGTTTCTGAGATGGTGTCTTGCCATGTTGGTCAGGCTGACTCAAACCCTTGGACTCTCGTGATCAACTGCCTCGGCCTCCCAAGTGGCCGGACCTTACAGGGAGCCTTCTATACCTGGCGCCATGCTTGCTTTGACATTTTATGTATCTCCTCTGTTGCCTGCATGTATGTGTACATGGGATTTGTGAGTGTTGTGTGTGCATGTGCACTGAAGCTTACGTGCACATTGTGATGCACTGCACATATGAAGTTGTATGCACAGGAGTCTGAGTATGATCATGTTGTCGCAGCTCAAGGATGAAATGTCAGAGGTCAGGGGCTCTCCAGCACAGGCCATTTCTCAGCCCCTCATAGCCATGAGGAGTTAAGTCAGGGTGCAGGGAAGCCACCAGACCCCGAGGAGGAGCCCAAGGCAGAATCAGATTTCCCCTGTGAAGCCCCCTCCAGGCAGGTGTAGAGGAGATGATAGGGCCTGGGAAATGGAGAGGTCTGGATCACGCCGTCAGCCATGGACAGGAGGATGGAGGATGCAGAATGCAGAGTCATGCAGGGCCGGCCGGTGCTGGAATTTGTCTGCCTCCCTGAACCTAAGGGAAAGCATCTCAGCAGCAGTCGGCGGCTGTGTCCTGTGTCCTGGCTGGCTCAGCCACACTGGGCAGGAACGCTGATGAGGAAGGGTTGAGGGAAAGCAAGTTAGGGGACATGTCAATGTGACATATATGTTGCTGTCCAAGAGGGACTTGGACCTGAGAGATGAGCAGTTGAACAAATTCTTCAAAACTACAGACTAAAAGACAATTTATATTTATTTAATGTATGTGTGTGTGGTGTGTGTGTGTGTGTGTGTGTGTGTATGTGGTGTGTGGTGTTTGTGTGTGTGGTGTGTGTGGTGTTTGTGTGTGTGTGGTGTGTGTGTGTTTGTGTATGTGGTGTTTGTGTGTGTGTGGTGTGTGTGTGGTGTGTATGTGGTGTTTGTGTG